TAAAAATCAAATGTAGATTCTCCTTATTATCTTTGAACTTCTCCATCAAACCTCTCAATAAGTGTATAGCTTCCATAGTAGACCTGCCAAGCATAAATCCAAATTGATTATGAGAAATCTTTGTACTACATCTCAACCAATGTTCAATTATCCTCTCCCATAACTTTAAAGTATGACACATTAATTTAATTCCTCTATAATTTGCACACCGTAATGCATCTGATTTATTCTTAAAAATAGGGACCAAGGACCAAAATACTCTTCCTCCACTCCTCAGACACCTTTTTAGTTTTTAAAATAATATTAAAGAGTTCAATAAGCCAAGAAACTCCAAAATCTCCAAAATATTTCCACACTTCAATTGGGATATCATCAGTCTTACAGACTTTTCACCCTCGATTTTCTTTAAAGCCTCCTCAACTTCTTTTTTACTAGCGTGACGGTAAAAATGAAGCGTTTTATTATTATTCATGATATTAAGATCACTAAGGTCGATCGTATTTTCAGAAACTTCATTAAAAAGTTTATCAAAATAACGCACCCACCTATGTTGAATATCTTTTTGTCAACTCAAAATTTAATCACAAACAAAATAAAAAATAAATTACAACTATATTAAAACGTCTCTATCGAATGATTGGTAATCCCTCGGAGGAGGTAACCTACAGTTGCTAACGAGAATTTCCATGGACTAAATGAAAGTACGGAACTCATTAAATTTGGTTTTCTTTTAGACTCCCTGCGAGTCATTTAATATTTTTCCCAGTTTCATAAGCTTTTACATTTAAACCAATTTTTATAACATAACTTCTTATATTTTATCTTTTCTTGCACATTATTATTCCACCATTAACTATTTTTATTTATAAAAACTTTTTCTTTTGATTCTCCAAGTATATCTTTTGCTACTTGTTTAATAGTATTTGTAATTTTACCCCACATAACATTTGTTTCTTCGTGAACATCCCATATATTGAAATTTTGAATTTTACTCATAAAAATATTTTTATTTGTCTTTTAGGTTCCCCTATCTAATTCTACGATGAAAAGTCTTAGTATTTTTTATTTTACAACTCTTCATCTTAAAATCTAGAACTAATAAGCGATGTTGGGTACTTAAATCTTCACTTGAAATGACCTTAAAATCTTTAGAATCTCGACGATCTCTTCTTCTCATTAGAAAATAATCAATTTGTGTTTTATTAAATTCACTCTTATAAGTAATAAAATGCTCATCTCTTTTCTTGAATAAAATATTAGTAATAACAAAATCATATGCTAAAGCAAAATCTAAAATAACTCTACTTTGTTCATTAGTTGCTTCAAAATCGTAGCTACCATGAGCATTTCTGAAATCTTCTGCCACTCTACCGACATGTTCATTTAAATTTTCTCCAATAAAAATTCTTTCTTCAAGAGATATCATTTGTATTAAGTTCTAAGTCATTCCAGAATTTATCTTTAGACCCCATATCTAAACCTACTTAAGGAGCATAAGCATTTATAATATTGAAAATATTGACATCAATGATAATCTTAAGGGCTATAATTCTATCTCCAACTCTATTAATTTTTACAACAATATCTTTGAAGCTCTTATCTACAATTACACTTACACTATTTCTAGTGCGACTCTTACCAGAATACCAAAGTTTAAACTTAAATTATCAATCTCCCTAATCTTTTTTCCAACCCATTTAGTTTCTTGAATACATAAGATATTAATTTTCCTATGAATCATAATATCAACTAATTCCATTAATTTACCATTTAGAATTCCTATATTCCAAGATTCTATCTTAATATTAATTTCATCAGTTACACGGACTAACTTCTTTACCCGCATTTGTCCGTAATGGGAGAACCCTTGCTTATTTGACACTACACCCGAGCGCAGGTGTAGCGGCCCTTATACACTTTTCACTGTATTTAGGCTATACAACGCGTCGCTTTCCAGAGGAAGCCCTAGCATGTATGCGTTTAACATCAAAGATTGTTCTTTTATACTCCCTGCGAGCCATTTAATATTTTTCCCAGTTCCATAAGCTTTTAGATTTAAACCAATTTTTATAACATAACTTCTTATATTTTATCTTTTCTTGCACATTATTATTTCACCATTAACTATTTTTATTTTATTTATAAAAACTTTTTCTAAAAACTTTTTCTTTTGATTCTCCAAGTATATCTTTTGCTACTTGTTTAATAGTATTTGTTATTTTACCCCACATAACATTTGTTTCTTCATGAACATTCCAAATATTGAAATTTTGAATTTTATTCATAAAAATATTTTTATTTGTCTTTTAGGCAATCTAA